GAAATCACAAATAGACAATCTAATGAAACGATCAAAGAGCTGGAAAAAGAAGAACAGACAACCCAAACCCAGCAGAAGAAGTGAAATCAACAAGATTCAAATCAGAACTAACGAAATTGAAAACAGGAAAGCTATTTCAGGAGATTATAAACAAAAAGTTGGTTCTTTGAAAAATAACAAAGTTGACACACCTTGGCTAAGCTAACGGAAAGCAGAAAAGAGAAATCTCTAATAAGCTCCATCAGGAATAAAAAAGGAGATATCACAACTGATCCCAAAGAGATACAAGATACAATTTATGAATATACAAAAATCTTTATGCCACAAACTGGAAAATGTGGAGGAGAATGGAGAAATTTCTAGAAACACAACAGCCTCCTAGGCTCAACCAGGAAGAAATAGATTCCCTGAACAGACCAATCTCAACAGCTGGAATAGAAACAGCAATTAAATCTCCCTAAAAAAAAGTCCCGGTCCAGATGGCTTCACACCTGAATTTTACCATACTTACAAAGAAGAACTAGTACCTATCTTGCAGAAACGATTCCACAACATCGAGGAGAAGGAACCTCCCTGACACCTTTTATGAAGCGAATTATTACCCTGATACCAAACCAGGAAAGGATGCAACAAAAAAAAGAAAACTACAGACCAATATCCATAATGAATATAGATGTAAAATTTTCAAACAAATCTTAGCTAACCGAATCCAGACACTTATCAAAAAAATAATCCACCACGACCAAGTGGGCTTCATCCCAGGGGTGCAGGGATGGTTCAACATACGTAATCTATAAATGCAATTCACCACATAAACAGAAGCAAAAACAAAGACACATGATTCTTTCATAGATGCAGAAAAGCTTTTGACAAATTCAACACCCTTTCATGATACGAACACTTAAGAAATAGGCATAGAAGGGACATACCTAAAAATGATACAAGCCATATATGACAGACCATAGCCAACATCATACTGAATGGGGAAGATTGAAATCATTCCCACTTAGAACTGGAACCAGACAAGGCTGCCCACTATCTCCACTTCTGTTCAACATAGTGCTGGAAGTCTTGGCTACAGCAATCAGACAGGAAAATGGAATCAAAGGTATCCAAATAGGGCAGAAGAGATCAAACTTTCACTGTTTGCTGATGATATGATATTGTATCTAGAAAACCCCAAGGATTCACCAAGAAACTCCTGGAACTGATCAATGAATTTAGTAAAGTCTCAGGATACAAAATCAATACACAGAAATCAGAGGCATTCATATACGCCAACAACAATCTAATTGAGAACCAAATCAAAGACTCAATTCCCTTCACAATAGCAACAAAGAAATTAAAGTACCTAGGATATATTTAACAAAGAGGTAAAAGACCTCTACAGGAGAACTATGAAACACTGAGGGAAGGAAATAGCAGAGGATGTAACAGATGGAAATCCATACCATGCTCGTGGATCGGCAGACTCAATATCATCAAAATGTCTATACTACCCAAACTGATCTATAGATTCAATGCAAAACCTATCAAAATCCCATCAGCATTCTTCACAGATATAGAGAAAATAATTTTACGCTTCGTATGGAACCAAAGAAGACCCGAATATCAAGACAATTCTAGGCAACAAAAACAAAATGGGAGGCTTAATATGCCAGATATCAAACTATACTACAAAGCTGTAGTAATTAAAACAATCTGGTATTGGCACAAAACAGGATATTGACCAGTGGAACAGATGTGAGAATCTATTAAAACCATCCTCATATAGCCATCTCATCTTTGACAAAGCAGACAAAACATACGCTGGGGAAAAGAATCTCTCTTCAATAAATGGTGCTGGGAAAACTGGATAGCCACCTGTAGAAGGCTAAAATAGGACCCACACCTTTCACCTCTCACAAAAACCAACTCACGCTGGATAACAGAGTTAAACCTAAGATATGAAACTATTAGAACTCTAGAGGAAAATGTTGGAAACACTCTCTAGACATCGGCCTGGGCAAAGAGTTATGAAGAAGTCCCCAAAGGCAATCACAGCAGCAACAAAAATAATAAAATGGGACATGATCAAACTACAAAGCTTCTGCACAGCCAAAGAAATAGTCATGAAAGTAAACAGACAACCTACAGAATGGGAGAAAATTTTTGCATCCTATGCATCCGATAAGGGATGATAACTAATATACTTAGAACTCACGAAAATTAGGAAGAAAAAAATCAAATAACCCATTAAAAAGTGGGCAAAGGACTTGAACAGAAATTTTCTAAAGAAGACAGAAGAATGGCCAACAAACATATGAAGAAATTCTCAATCTCTAATCTCAGGGAAATGCAAATCAAAACCACAATGAGATATCACTAACTCCAGTGAGAATGGCTTTATCAAAAGCTCAACAATAAATGCTGGCTGGATGTGGAGAGAGAGGAACACTCTAACTGCTGGTGGGACTGCAAAACTAGTTCAACCTCTGTGGAAAGCAATATGGAGATACCTTAAAGCGATACAATGAATCTACCATTTGATCCAGCAATCCATTGCTGGGCATCTACCCAAATGATCCAGTGACACTCTACAAAAAAACACCTGCACTCGAATGTTTATAGCAGCACAATTCATAATTGCAAGGCTGTGGAAACAGCCCAAGTGCCCATCAATCCAAGAATGGATTAATAAAATGTGGTATATGTATACCATGGAGTACTATTCAGCTCTAAGAAACAATGGTGATATAGCACATCTTATATTTTCCTGGTTAGAGCTGGAACCCATACTACTAAGTGAAGTATCCCAAGAATGGAAAAACAAGCACCAGATATATTCTCCAGCAAACTGGTATTAACTGAGTAGCACTAAGTGGACACATAGGTACTACAGTAATAGGGTATTGGCAGGTGGGAGGGGGAGGGGGCCGGTATATACATACATAATGAGTGAGATGTGCACCATCTGGGGGATGGTCATGATGGAGACTCAGACTTTTGGGGGGAGGGGGGAAATGGGCATTTATTGAAACCTTAAAATCTGTACCCCCATAATATGCCAAAATAAAAAAAAATTTAAAAAAAAAAAGATCCCAGCTTATGTTAAGATCCCTGCTGCTTGATGGTATCACCCACCAAACTACAACCATTGCTACTATCAACCAATGTCTATGCCAAAGCCTTATGTCTAAAGCATTCATGTTTGAGTCCAGGATATTGTTTCTTGAAGCTCTTAGTATGGTTTCTTATAAATGCCAAATATCTAGGATCAATGAAAATATTTTGTCAAAGAGTTCTTTGTAATTTATGCTCGTGCTTTTATTATAGTCCTGGCTCGTGCTTTTATTATAGAGCCAGATTATCTAAATTTGAATCTCAGCTCTCAAACATAACTGTCATGTGATCCTGGTGAAATTGCTCAACCTATCTGCGTATTAGTTGCCTTATCCTTAAAGTAAGAATAATAATTTATCTACTTTAAATGTTTATTATAAGATACATAGCCAAGTTTTTGGCATATAGTTCAGCTTTAATAAATGTTGATTTCTATTACTATGGCAACTAGCTTCTTTTACTGACTCAAACAGGTTTTGTTTATCAACCTCTTGCCTCTTTCTGAGTACCTTCTATCTGTTGATTTCACCTTTCCTTTACTGAGTTTATGCACTCTAATCACTACTGTCATGCTTCTTCCTTTTGCAGGACCTTGGATCATGCTGTTCCATGTGTCTGGAAATTTCTTCCTTTTCCTGTTTGCCTGGCCAACTCCTTTGTCTTTAAACATAAGAGCACAAGGGCATGGACTATATCTGGCCTTTATCATTTTACACCCAGAGCTTTGTATAGTGCCTGGAATACAGTAGATACTCATTAATGTTTGTTGCATGAATGAATACCAGCCTGACTAAAGCTAGAATCTCACCATATTCAGTTTTTTCTCTTCACATTAGTTCACATTCTGGCTATGGCCTTTTGTTTGTCTACTCATTGGTTCTAGGCAATTCTCAACAAATATTTATTAAATATATAGACGTTAGGCTCTGTGCTATGGGCTTGGAAAACAAATATGAAAAATACGAGTGTTTTTCTCTCAAGAAGCTACTTGTTCATTGGAGGCCACAAATATGGAAAGAGAGAAATTATAATTCAGAATAAGTGAATGCTTGGGCATATCAGAAACAGGGAAAAGAATATAAATTTATCCTGGAAAGACAGGGAAGGGTTCACAGAGGAAGTAATATCTAAATTGAGTAAAAAATGAGTTAATAGGTTTTCATGGAGGTAGAGCATCCATGGCAGAAAGAATTTCAGGGCAAAGGTGTGGAGGCCTTTTCTTCTTCTATTGATTCTGAATTTTTACAAACCATTTCTTTTATTGCCTTTTTGACATTAGACTAATACTTTAAATCTCTAATATCGTACTGCACAATTTCCCATTTTTCAATGTATGTACATTATATTTTCTTGTTTGTTTTTTCTCTCAAACTTTTTTCTCTGCCCTGGATTTCCATTGCCTTCTTTGTAATATGTATTGTTCTTAAATTTTTGCCTGCAGAAAGTGTTCCTTCCTGATGGCTTATTCCCTTCTAGTGCTCACTATATTTAGCACTGTACCTGGACCCTGGATTCAGCATGCTCAACTGAATTTATGGAAGTACAGCTGTGAGTGCTATATGACGTCCATAAGTTCAAGAAAGTGATGGAAGGGTAGTAGAAGAATTTTAGTTCTAGCAAACCTCGATAAGCCACTGTAAATAGAAGTACACTGGGGCAATCGGGAAGAGCACTGAAATGGCAGGCAGACGACCCAGGTTTCACACTCAGTGTAGCTTTATGAGTCAGTCTTTTATCCTCCCTGCGCCTATGGCTTCAAAGCCGTTCAATGATGGCGATTGACTAGAGCGCTTTAGTCCAATCCTTGCGGACCAGAGACTCTAGGTTCCAGGCGCGCTTAGGCACCCACCCAGCACTGCCGGAAGGAGAGGGGCGGGGCCTTGAGGCTCACCAGTCAGCCCGAGCGGGCTGGGGGAGGAGACCTCCGGGTCGAGAGTTTTTTAGGGAGGAGGAAAAGGCGGGTGCAAGGCTTCCTCCTGAGACCCTCGTTGCTTGGAATTCCGCCCGCTTTGCGCAGCTGGGAGTCACGACCTCCAGCACAGGTGGGTCCTGTCCTGTGGGTAGGGGAAGGGTAGTCGTGCATGAGTGCTACGGAGGGGTTTGTCCAACTGCTTGCTTTCAGGCCTGGCGCAGTGGGCGGCGGCGACGGCAGCGGAGGCTCCTGTCCAGGCTGCTGGATCCTCGGGGAGTGGTACTTACCTTAGTCTTGGCTAGGAGAAGGACACTCTTGCCTTGCCGCAGGGCTGTCGTCACGGTTTGTGCTGGTTGCGCGACAGAGACTGCCCAGAGATCAGCGTGGGGCCAGAGGGGCCTAGCACTCAGGAAAAGCAGGAAGAGCTGGAGCAAGCTCGCATTGGGACTGTGTCGCCCAGAGTACATTGTTTCAAACTCGGTTGGACTTTCAAGCCCTGAATCTGTCACTGACTTGGTGTATAGCTTTCAGCGAGTTCCTACCCTCTCCATACCTCACTTTGCCCTGCAGGAGAGTGGAAGGTGGAACTTGGCTGTCTGCAAGACCTCGCAGCACTTGCTTTTGTTCTCATTAACCACTAAAGTTCTCTGCCAGGTTTTACCCTTTGTCTGCCCCTCTGGAGCAAAGCTGCCTAGGAAGTGGCAGAGTAGGGCATTAGGTGAGTTGGGCTAGAAGTTCTCCTTGTGTTCTGAAAACTACCCTGAAAAGCCTTTTAACACTTCTGTGTGGCCTGAAAACTGGAAATGACATTCATTCAACGCATTGTCATCTCTGAAGAATGTTTTTGTGAATGTTTTTACTATTACAAATTTTAACTAGATGATTGCCTAAAATGTTATGTGGCGAATGGACATAGTACACTTCCTAGCAAAAATACCATGATAAAAGAGTTGTTCAGTGATTTAACTGTATACCCAATCACTGAAAGAAAAACTTGAGCTCTCATATTTTAGAAATGCTTCCATAATCTGCTCCCATACAATAGTCTTTTACATTTGCTTCTTAGCTTGGTATTGCCTTTTCAGGACCCACTATAGTAAACATTACATACGATTTATTTTACATTAACTTAACTATATAGACAAAGAAGAATTACAAACACTATGGACCAACATTATGGTGTCAACTTCCAATTCCTTTTCATTAAAGAATTGATTATAATGGCAACCATATGTTATGCAAAATACTCTAATTTTCATAACAGCCAGGAGAAATAAGTATGGTTATTTATCATAATACTTAAAGAAGTTCTACTTTATTGCATAACCAGTATGATGAAGGGAATGTTCACTGGGGTGGTTGAGTCTGAGGGCTTGTTCAGTGTGTCCCATTTAGTCCTTTATTTCTTGGAAGTGTGGACTGGGACAGATCACTTCCTTGTTTAGGCATCTGTTATCAGGAACCACAAGTAGTTCTGTATCTGCTTGTCCACCCTGGGAACAGTAAAGTATCCAAACTGATCACACAGTGTCTATGATGTTTCTAGCAGCTGTGTTTTCTGCCCACCCAGGCTAGGGCTGTGGACCCCTGGATTAATAAAATTCTTTGATGGGAATAGTCTCTTCCTGCTTGGAGCCAAACTGAACATAGATCCACCAGTTGGGCACCACCGTGGCCCTCTCTCTACAGTACCAAATGTTTCCCATGCTCACACGGGCTGTACATGCACCTGCCATTGTCCTGTGTAAAGATTTACAAGTTAAGAGGCTCTTAGAAAAACCCCAGCCTGTTCCATACCTACAGGTTCTAGGCAAGGGGTGGCTGATATGAAGGTGAGTGTTGTTTTCAGTGAGGGAGAGACCTGATGATTTCCCAGATGGTCTGAAAAGTAAGAGTGAAATTGTGCTGGGCATCTGCTGAACCAACCTTGAGGGTGAGTTTAGGACTGACTGTTTGGCAGGACTTGGTGACTGCTTTGATTAGCCATATTTTTACACTATTCACCATACTCTATTTGTTCATTCTGAAGACAATCAATGAATGTTTACTCTGTGCCAGGATGCTGATCCACTGATGGAGACTGGCAGCATGGGAGGACAGGAAGTTTGGGAGGACATCAGGAATTCAACTTTAAGCCCACTCAGTCTGATGCATCCTTACGTTTCCCTTACTGTCTATATCTAATGAGTACAAATCTTGTCACTTCTATATCCTGACTATTTTAAGAAACCATCCACTTCTCTTTGCCTCCACTGCTACTGCAAATTTCAAAACAGCAACATTCTTTTTAAATTGATTTAAAAATTTTTATTTTGAAAGACCAAATCTTTACTCGACCCTCAGGTCTCACGGGAAAACCACTGTCCTTACCATCACCACCACCACCACACAACCACTGCAACAACAACCAACAAGGGCCTAATACCCTGTGTATGATCTCTAATAAATTGTCAAAGTAAAGAGATAAGGTTTCTCTTTTATTTCTTGCTTCATAGAATGTTTAAAAATTATTTAGGATTAATTTACATACCATCAAATTCACTTATTTAAAGTACTTTTATGTAAATTTATTGAGTGGTGCAAACATCACTACAATCCAATTTTAGGACTTTTCCATCACATCAATGACATCTCTCTTGCCCATTTTCAGTCGATCCCAGTTACCAACTCTAACATCAAGCAACCACTAATCTACTTTCTGTGCCTATGGATTTGCCTATTGTGAACATTTCATATAAATGGAATCATATAATACATTGTCTTTTGTAGTAATTTCTTTCACTTAGCATAATGTTTTCAAGGTGTATTAATCTTGTAGCATATATCAATACTTCATTCCTTTTTATAGCTGAATAATATTCCATTGTATCAATATACTACATTTTATTTATCCATTCATAAATTGATGGACATTTGGATTGTTTCCAGTTTTTGGTTATTGTGAATAAGCTGCCATAAATATTCAGGTGAATTTTTAGGGTGGTTTTTAATTCTCTTGGGTAGATACCTAGAAATGGAATTGCTTGGCCATATTATAACTGTATGTTTACTCTTTTCCCAACCTGTTTTCCAAAGGAGCTGTACTGTTTTACATTAATTACATTTACATGAACTACCAGCAATGTCTGAGGATTCTAATTTTTCCCCATCCTCCCCAACATTTGTCACTGTCCATTTTTTAAGAAAAGTATAGCTCTCCTCGTGGGTATGGAGTTGTATCTCATTGTGGTTTGGATTTACATTTTTCCTAATGGCTAACTGAGCATCTTTACATGTGCTTTATACATTTGTATATGTTCTTTGGAGAAATGTCTACTCGCACATTTTACCCACTTTTAATTGGATTGTTTGCTTCCTTATTATTGAAATGTAAGAGTTTTTTGAATATTAGATCCTTATCAGATATATAATTTGCAAATATTTTCCCCCAGTATGTGGCTTATCTTTTAATTTTATTAATGGCATCTTTTGAAGGGCAAAGATTTTGAATTTTAATAAAGTCCAAGTTATCACTTATTTTTTCTTTTTAATTATGTTTTTTGGTGTTTTATCTAAGAACTATTTGCCTAACCTATGATAATGAAAGTTTTCTCCTATGTTTTCTTCCAAAAGTTTTATAGTTTTACTTCTTTCATTTATGTCTCTGATTCATTTTTAACTACTTTTGTTTATGGTGTGAGGTAAGAGTCTAAATTCATCTTTTTGTATACAAAATCAATATACAAAGGTCATTTGTATTTCTATACTCTTAGGGAAAAAATCATAAAGTGGTATTATAAGAATAATTCACAACAACACCAAAAAGAATAAAATGATCCTTCTTGGTCATGCTGTGTAATCCTTTTATTTATATTGGTGGGTTTGATTTGCTAACATTTTGTTGAGGATTTTTGCATCTATATTAATATATGATAAATATTTGATATATATGAATATAGTAATATTCATAAGAGATATTAGATTATAGTTTTATTTTCTTATGATGTATTTGTCTTGTCTTATGTCAAATACCAGCCTCATAGAATGAGTTGGGAGAATTTTGCAGTCAGGTGTTTATCTGTTTATAATTATTATATCTTCCTGATGAATTGACTCATCATTATAAAATGTCCCTTTTTCCTCTTATACTAACATTTTTTTCTTAAAGTCTATTTTGTCTGATATTAGATATCAGTCTAGCTAATACAGCTCTCTTATGGTTGATCTTTGCATTGTATATATTTTTTCACTCTTTATTCATTTAACATATTTATGTCTCCACTGTTAAACTGTGTTTTTCCACTATTGTACATGCCGTATCTTTGGAATCTGTTGTTTTATCCAACTTCATGTGCATTATCTTTTGATTGCATTGTTTAACCCATTTACTTTTACCTCAATTAAAGATGTAATTGGATTTACATCTGAATTTTCTATTTGTTTATTCATTTATTTATTCATTTTAATGTCTTTTGACTTTTTTGTTCCTCTGCATTGCCTTTATTACCTTCTTTTATGTTATATAGCTATTTTTTCATGAACCATTTAAACACCTTTTTATATTTTTACTATAACTTTTGGAGCTTTTTATTGATTGCGCTGAGGATTACAATATATATGTCAACTTAAAATAATCTACTTTATATAAATAATAATTTAATTTCAGTAACAGGGAAGTTTTGTTCCCCCATCCTTTGTGCTATTAATGTAGTATATTATACATCTTAATATGTTATAAGCCCAAAATGAAGTTTTAAAATTATTGTTTTATGTAGTTACCCTTTAAAAGAAAGAAATAAAAAAAATATACTCTCTTTTATGTTTACCTATATATTTTACTAGTCCTGGTTATTTCTTCCTGTGGATTCAAGTTACCATCTAGTGCCGTTTCTTTTTAGCCCGAACACTTCCTTTAGTATTTTTTCTAAGATAGACCTGTTAGCAGTGAATTCTGTCAGTCTTTGTGTCTTATGGAACTTCTTTATTTTACCTTCATTTTAAAGGATAGTTTTGCTGGATATAGAATTCTTCATTGACGGTTTTGGGTTTTTTTTCTCTTTTCTTTTAAAAAATTTTTAATGCTTTAATACATTGTATTTATGGGATACTTGTGAAATTTCGCAATATGCATAGAATGTATGATGATCAAGC